ACACACACACACACACACACACACACACACACACACACACACACACACACACACACACACACACACACTGGTGTAGATGAAAAAATGCGAAAAAGTGACTGGACAAACCAGTCTAATCAAAAACCTACCGCCAATATTATCACAGCATCATTGATCAGTACAAACATCAGGTCCCGTTTTGTTAAGACAGTATAATGTGTCCCACGGAATACAATCTCACTGTGGTCGGGGTCGATCACCCTTCCCTTGCACCTCGTCAAATGCTCCTATATGACCTCTGCTGAGGAAGCCCTAATCACTGTATTCCCGTGGCGGAGGTTTTCCTAGTGAATTATTAGAAGCCCGGGGAAAACTATGGGGAACGACAACCGGAAATGGTCTAAATTAGGTGCAAATCGGACTAGTTGCTCACCTTGACATTCATGGCGATCAGATTGAGTAGTACTCCGGCCATAGGAGCTCGGACTAGCTCTGGTTGTGGATGAAGTGTCATTTTCTTGTACTCTGCATCGGTGTACAGGCGTAAGCAAACCCCAGCTGCCTCTCTCCCAGCGCGACCGGCACGTTGCCAAGCTTGGCTCTTTGAAATTCTTTGAATGCGGAATGATTCTAATCCGCATTGTGTATCCCAAAACCTTAAGTATCAAAGGACAAAAAATGAGAAGAGATATTGGAACTAATGTCAGATGGATTGTTTTGGCTCTTCCGTGAGCGGTGGCAAGAGAGAAATTCACTAATTAGTTCACGTGACTGCGGGTCGGGTGAACCAAATATGTGGCGTGACTGATAAGTAACTGAAAGTTTAAAAGTGCAACCGGAACATGGGAAATAAAACAGGCTTACCAACTCAGACTCAAAAAAAAACTGACATCTCTAACTCACAATAACTAAACGAATGCTTTGAGATTATATTGCATTTCAACAGCACTACTCCATTTCCCCTGCAATACCTTCACGAGACTGACGTGGTGTGATGGCTTGCGTGCCCCCATGACCCTGCGAGCTATACAGGATGGCTCACAGCCGTAGATCCAATCATGATAGAAAGGTCGATAGACAGAGGCTAGACGGAGGTCAGTTTCAAAGCCAGCCTGCTTAGACACCTCCTGACCTCCTTTGACCATCCACTCTCTCCCCACCTGGAAAGGTCACTTCAGCAAAAAACACCGGGAGATGAGATTTACCGATCACACCCTAGATGGATGTAGGAGCGGAGTGCCCGGGCGCTTCCTCCTGACGGTAGGAGGGAGAAGTTTCCACACTTCACTAGATAGCTACCGCCCACCCTAACTGGGCAGCCCCCAGCCAATAAAATGCTGTCCCGTCCACGTTCCGCTTGTCTCATTGGGTGCTTGAGACTAGGGGCCAATCCTGAACAGCGGACCGACGCACTGGCGAACAAAACAGGTCCCTAGGAACTCCCACATAGGTGCTGTGGTCATGCTCCCGCGTTGGATCGACGCCCCACTGTCTTGTGGGTCAGACTCTTGAGTCAAAAGGATCCGATTAGGGTTCAGAAGAAAACCTCCTACGTCGGTGTGTGCTGCCACTAAGTATGCCGTGCCTCAAAGTCTTGGGCACCCATTTCATCTGTCCACTTCCTCTTCTCACTCCCAAACTCTAGGAGATGCATCCTGTTTGCGCCACCCATGGGATATCACTCAGCTTTCAACTAATAAGGTCAACCACTCAGAGGCTATCATATTTTTGAAACCAAAATCTCCTTTTCACTTAGCCGCATTCAATGTCCGCACACTCTACCAGATCGGTCAACAAGCTGTCTTAGCTAGAACCTTTGAAACCTTCCATTTAGATATATGCTGTGTCTCCCAAAAGGGCATACATACATTTCAATCATCCCCTTACGATATCCAGATCCAGCTTTATCCTCAGGCTTCACTCTCCATGTGTCAGGTAATTCCGTGTCCAAAGCTCGAGGTGTTGCTGGTGTCGGGATTGCGCTGAGTGTCAAGGCCGAGCGTTCACTGCTCGACTGAATCCAGGTTAGTAGCCGACTTTGCGCTGTACGTCTGGATGGTTCAGTACGAATCAACAGCTACAGAACGAAACGTCGATCGAGATTCTCTCTACGCCTACCAAACAACCAATCAAAGGTCTGAGGAATGACCACGAGAAGTGGTGGGTAGGGAAGTGCAGAGAGATGGAGAAAGCTGATGCTATCGGTAACAGTAGCAATCTTCCCGGATTAGGAGTACGGGACCAAAAAGAGTGGGTGTGTGGTAATCAAGGAGTCTGACGGCACACTGATTCATATTAGGCAACGCTGTTTTGAACGTTAGGCAGAACACACAACACAACACCTCCCCTACTGCCAGTTGATATCAGTCCTCCATCTGAATTGGAGATTTCTCGGAAAATAAGGTATCTCAAAAGATATAAGGCTTTTGATCCCAAAGCCCGGTCCCCATCGGTTCTTAAGAATGAAGGTTCAGTCTTGGTTTCAGGGGTAGAAGAAACTTCTGGTCTCGATTTGGTGAAGAAGACGGACAGAGCCACTTGTGAAAACCACAGAGGAATTAGTTTAATCAACATCGTCTCTGAACTTCTCATCGGTATCATACTCCGACGATTGTCTGCCGCACATGCACAGTGCACGCGTGAGAACCAGGCTGGTTTTAGACCCGGTCGAGGTTGTATCGTCCACTTGTTCAATCTTCGTCAAATTCTAGAACAGACACTCCTTTTGTAGACCCACCATTCCTATCTTTTCCGACCTGAAAGCGGCTTTCGACTCAGTTGACCGCTCTAACCTCTGATGCTGCCTTTCCTTGTGGTGTGCCCGAGAAGTTGCTTTCAATATCACGATCCTCCTATCCTCGTGCGAGGATAGTAGCATCACTTTACTCCCAGGTGGCAGACTGTCTGGGGGATCCAGACGACATTGTGCTGATGAGCGAAAATGCAAGTATGCTGCAAGCTTTTCTGGATAGTTTGAGCGATAGTGTAGCCATACTCGGTATGCGTTTTGCACCTTCAAAGTGGCTACAACACCGAGTTGGTCCAGCTCAGATTCAGTTCAGTTTGAACAACCGTTAACCATGCACTTTCGTGATGCGTCCACCGGGTGAGATGTAGCTGCCCAGATAACAAAACTTATCCACCTCCTCTATTACTTCCCCAGTGAGAGTGAGGCTGGGTGCTGGACCAACCCAGTCTTGTAGTAACATTTTACACTTTGAAGGTGCAAAACGCATACCGAATGTGGCTACACTGGCATTCAACTTATCCAGAAATGCTTGC